TTGATTTTCTACATTGAAGTTACACTTTAAGTGTCTTCTCTCTCATCTCAACAATGCTCCTCGTTTAAATTTGCTTCTCCAAGATCAGCTCAAGCTTTGCCAAAGGGGTTTACCCTGGCCTACCTCTCACCATCAAAGGTGGCATTGGGCTATTTGCAGTAAAATGAGCTGCCCCTTTAAAAAGGAAAAAAAAAATCCTTTCCCCTCCACAGGTTCAGTCATTACTGCCAAAAGGAGCTTCCAATTCTCACCTGAGCTGCTACAGGGACTTTCCATGCAGGATTCAACAGGCACTTTGTGTGCTTATGATTGTGTTACCTCTAGTTAGTCCTTCTGGGATTAGGATAACAGTTTCCACAGGATTTTAAAGCAAGATTATCAAGCCTGTCTACTCAAAGCCTTTCATAAAGTGATTATTAAGACCTGGCAAGAACTTCCAGTTTTATATATGCTCTGAAGATAATAATCTTTGACAAGACAAATCAGGTAAGTTGATATTAACTCTTCCAGATCTTGGTGGTTTCACATGTACTTGGAGGGAACCATTTCAACGGTGCTATTAATGCTCGGTGGAAATGTAGCAAATGAAATGTATTTTTATTAAAGGTATATTTATTACATTTTATTAAGTTCTCATGCAAATAAATCTGAACTTAAAAATTAGTTGTAGCAGTTTAATGAAGCATGTGATTATAACACAGGCATATTTCCATATTAACGTGCAATATTTCTTTAGACCTGGTGTATCATGGTGTGCTTAAAGTGAGAGATGACCTTTACGTGTTGGAACTGAATGAAGGTAGGGAGATTAATACTCAAGGACTTCCCCTTTTTATTTCTTTGTTCTCTTAACTTCTGTTCCACTCTGTTTAGCATAAAGACACAGAAAAACTACTTGATATCTGATTGCTCTCTGTTTGTACAGGAAAAATTAAAACAATTCAAACTTCATGGTTACCTGCCACATTAAATTGAGTTCAAATGAAGCATAGTTAATAAACATGTTGATTTAAGACTACACAATCTGGAATAACAAAGAGATATTTAAAAAGAGGTCTTTATGAGTGTATAAAGGTAATCTGAACTGGATTAAAATCTCCCATTCAGCAGTTCAGGGAACTCTGGATCAACAGTTCTAAGTAAAATGAATTCTGATAATATCATTCTACTTAAAATAAACACAGGAAGAGGATTATTGTATCCAGTAGAGGTAAAGGAGAATTTGTTGCTAAAGGCTTGACCTGCAGTCTGTATCAGAGAAATGTTTGGAAGGCAAATATTCAATGAGAGTCATTTTATGGGATGGTCGTGTGGCACCTTTGCCTTTGAGGCACAGGTTTCTTTTTTTTTAAGGGTTTCATATTTGCAGTCTGGACATGTATTTTAGCCACCACAGTAGTGTCAGTTATGCTGGAAAATTAATTTAGATATCAGATACTCAGAGTAATGCAAACATGACACGTATTGTAAGAGTTACTATTACTAATATCCACATTGCTGAGAGATAGGATATTTCAGGCAGCAATTCTAGGAGTGTCACAGATGGCTTTGAAATTTAATTGGACAGCATAAATATTCAGAGAGTTAATGATTTTGGAAAGCAGCTAAAACCTAATGCTTAAAATTTAAATCAGTCTCTACCTATTGAGGCGGAAGGGCAGTACTTTCTAGAGGGATGCTCTTAGCATTGAGATCTCTCTGCTATTTCTTTGTAAGCATCTTGAACTGGTCAGAGGACACCACACTGGTAAATCTGACATTCAGGCAAAACAAGCTTTCCCATGAATGGAGGATTTTCCATTCGTTTTATGCAAACCTTATTTAATATTTCTTTGCTAGAAATAGAACAGGATTTGGCTTATTACGATCTGTCCTTCCAGGTTATGTTTGCATGTTGTCCAAATCGTTAGATGTTTTGCTTGATGGAGGCTGTAGGGTGTAATCACACCTCAGTTAAATGTGGGTGTTATTGCCAGACTAATGCCTGCTCCGAATTCCTGCCACAAATCAGCGTTGTATACGGAGAAAATTGTGTGTGTTGGTTAGCGTGGAGGAGCAGCTCAGCGGGGAGGACAGCAGGCAGCTGCAAATTCAGGTGAGCAGAAAGCATCTCTCAATGTGCATGGGATGCTTCCAAACACAACTTTGTATCTCGCTTTCTTTCAATTTTGTTTCTGCTTTTAAAGCTGTTTTTTTAATTGTCTCTCTCAAGGTGCTTTTATAGGACAGTTCTTTCTCGAGTCAGTCTTATCGCCTCTTCCCTATCTCTTGGGAATGTGCTGTCTCTAGCCCCTTCACTGGTCTCCTGCACTGAGTCTTCTGTCGGATGATTTTCCCCATCCTGCCACCATAAACAGTTCTGGATCAGTTTAAATAGATCAGTAATGAATTTAAATCCCCTACAGGAAATTATCTTCACCCTATCAACCCTTTTACTTGTGAACCTCTGTAGAACAGCTGTGCTTGCACATCAGTCTGGGGAATACTCTTACCAAGGATTTCTGTGTTAGTTCAAGTGCAATTTGCTGGTGATCCAGGAGAGCCCAAGTTCCTCAGAGCATGTGCTGGAAATCAAGTCCCCCCCTCTCTGGCATGAACATTGACCACCAATGTGTAGGGACAGACTGAAAGTGGGGCTGAGGATGTCCTCTTCTCCCACCTCCTAGGTCTGAGTCTCTCACTCACCATGCAACCAAAGTCCTCATGAAAGGTAGAGTTTTGGGCTCCTTTGCAGCAGAGACCCTCTAGCCAAGGCCAGCCTTGTGCTGCAGGGACAGTAGAGTGGCAGCACTGCTTTTGACCATGTTTCATATTGATATCCCCTGGGTTTCCACGCACAGAGTTGGCACTGACTGTGCAGCCTGATCACACTCTGTGTGCAGGGAACAGGTCATGAGGAACTTGCTCAGGGGGAGGTCTGTGGCCCGTAAACACTGAACTGTCATCGTGAAGCGCAGCTCATTATAATAGGGATCTTCTAGAGCAAAGGAGACAGTCACTTCTCATAATACAGGAATAAAAATTCATGGTATTCCATTAAAAAAACAGCAAATCACCCCACTGTTAACCTCAGTCAAACACACAACCTGACAGTTCCCCCTTAACAGGACACTTAATTGAGTAGGTGCACCAGCCACTACAGCACTCCTGCTCCAAAACACAGGTGGGTACAAACCTCCTCTTGATGTGATCACGCAGCTCTCCATCCCACAACCCCAGCTGACCCCAGAGCCTGCTCTCCCCAACAGCCACCTCCCCATCTCTTTTGTAAACCAGTTCTTCAAACTCAGCGCCACTGAGGAGGTTTCCCTCACTAACTCTTCTCTGTTTCATACAGTAAAAAAAAAAAAAAGACATGATATCAAGCAAAATCCGAAAGTGTGGATTAGTTTTATATCTAACTCAGTGCAGATTACATCACCACTGCTTCCACCCCATCAGCATGTTAGCAAGCTTGAGCTACCATCCTAAAGTCTCCCCTAACTACAGAGGTCACAGGTCCACACAAAAAGTTGTTACAAGTCCCACTAAGCTTCGTAATACAAGATAGTGGAAGCAGGGATAGCTTTGATGGGGTTTCAGGCCCTGTGAGTCTCATGCCAGCAATATATTCATGGTCTGTAGTCTAGTTGTTGGTCAGATCCCAAATGTTGTTGCAAGAAGAGCCAAGCTTAGGATTTTTGGTGCTAGACTGGTCCATGGGACGCTGGACTCTGTCCATGCATAATTAGTCCAGTTCCCAGAAGGGTGAGGGCGTGTGAAGTCTGGCGAGTGAGTTTTGGCCATGGCTTTCTCTCCGTCTCAGCCCTGCTCTTCTGCACATGCTGTGCAGAAACTGTGGATGAGCATAGGCTTGGGGTCAAGTAAAAAGGATTAGGTAGATGGACCGAATCGATAGGAAAAACTACCTAAAAAGCTTCTCTGAGCTTGCTTTGAATTAGCAGAGCTGGCACTTAAATGCATTTGACTCATCGTACGAGCAAACAGACATTTCAAACACAGAGCTGCTTGGTATTGTTTCACCATCCCAAGGAAGAGTCTCTTTAGAACTGCTAAGTGCAAATTAGTTATTTTCAGAATGTGTTAATTCTCTAGTGAATTAAATATGAGAAAGATTTTAAACGTGATGATAATAGTTTGTTAATCAAACAGTATTATCTTCAAGACAATGGTTTGCTGCATACATGCAAAATTAGCTACTCCGAGAGGATATAAAAAAATTTTTTGGACCTTTTTTTGCTATTTTTCATATGCTCCCTCATTTTCTGACAACTGCAGAGCTATTTGCCATGTTCCGATATTAGAAAAACAGGTGGGGAACATGTAAAGAAGCAAGGACTTTCCTTCTTTTTTTCTGACTACCATTAATTAAAATCTTTGAAACCTGGAAAGCAGCTCATTGTGTGAAAGGCAGAGCACCGTTAATCCCTCCCAAGCAGCTAGGCAAGGAAGCACAGGACACAGCTTGGTGACAATAATTAACTACAGAAATGCAGGACTAAGGGTCACCGGGCAAGCAACACTTCTGCAGAAAATGAGCTCAATTGATACCTGGTCTGAAATTGAACATAAGTAAATTTTATCTTGTTTCAACAGAAAGGGTCCAGGTGCCTGATGCGACAGTGTCCTTTGGGCACAGGTCATCCTGCCAGAGAAGAGGACTGTGCAGACATCCTTACCGAGTCCCAGAAAGCCTCAGTTACGTAAGACTCAAAAATCAAGAGTTACATACTGAACTTATGATTCCCACAGATACCTAGAAAATACTGATTGTGTGATTTCTGTTTCTTTGCCATTTACACCACCAGTCTTTTCTCTGCATCCCAAAGACCTAATATTTCTCTCACGGTCACATCATTCTGGGACAAGGGTTGGATAAAATTGTGCAACACCACAAATTTTAACACCACCACAACAGTATTTCTTTCTCATAGAGCAACCCATACTGCTGAAACTGAGAGTCCACAATGCAGTCATTCTGCTGGCATGTGCCAGCGAAGATGAGCCTGGGATTTCTATGTCTCTTTCTGGTTTGCAACACAGGTAAGAACCATGGTTTGGTGCTCCCCAGAGTCTCTTTCCCGATTGCTCCCATCGCCCCATCCCCACATCCTTGTCAGGCTGGTTTCTTTCACCCTGTGTAGGCTAGGCTGATGGGCTAGAGCTCAAGGGCTGGTGGCAGATGATGGCAAGGACAGATCAGATGATGGCAAAGGTCTCCTCTTGGCTCCCATGCCATGAATCTGAAGTCATAAGAATTTATGTGGAGAGAGAAGGGTTAGAAGAGCTCTTACCAGCTAGACTGTCGGTCCAAATTTAACTCATACTGAAAGTTGGTAATACAGCTGACTAGTACCATATGAGAAGCCACGACTTACAGGCCTGGGAAGATTTGTTTAGATTTGGCCTTATTATGCTATGTACCTTGCAGACAACATTGTGTACAAGCCTAGTGCACACCTCTACAACAGTTTGCGGCTTTTTTTTTTTTTCTTTGGATTCTTGAGGGGCAATATCTGACATTTAATCTGTGTTCTTTCTTTAGCTGGCAGCTAAAGGACCTGGCAAGTCCTATAAGACATCCTTATTCTTAGGCACCTGCTCAGTTGTGGATACTTGGTGGCCTGCTTTGCAGTGCTAATGTCCATCAGTTTCTGAGCTATAATAAATAAGACAGCAAAATTACCCAGGCAGAGAGCTCGAGTTACTCAGTAGCTCAACAGGGAAAACTGTTTCTTCTTTCTCGGTCTTTTTCTTCACTTCACAGCTTTGTGCATAAGAAGAGAAAATAAGAAGGAGAAGCAGGTGGCGGTGCTGGCTACGGCAGGTAACAAGCAGCACACCAGGAGACCCTGTGTGTGGCTGTTGGTGGGAGTGGGAGGAATTGTGCTGGACACAGAGGTGGTGGCAGATGGGTCCTTCTCCTGCAGAGTCTGTGAGTCTCAACCCACCGCTGCTGCAAAGGCTCTTCACCCAACACAGGGGCTTTCCCATGTTCCCGGCAAGTTTTTAGCCTCCCTCCTTCCAGGAATCTAAAATGTTGTTTTCTCTTTTTCCCTTTTCTTCTTCCCAGCTCTTCATTCCCTTTGGTTTTCCCTTTCTCTCTTCTATGTTGTGGACAAGCCTGCGCTTCCAGCCTTGGGGTGCAGCTTGGTTTCGAATTGGTTAAAAACAATACTGATGTCATTGGAAAATTGTATTTCTCCCCAAATTCAATTTTGCCCTCATCTCAGCTTTCTGTGTTTCTTTTTCCGTCCTGCTCTGTTTTTTCTCTCTCTGTCATGCACACACAGACCTTCCTCCACACACACACACACACACACACACACACACACAGCCCATACTGCTCTGCTTCTGCATGACTTTGTGGGAGGGAAGCAAAAGAACATCTTCAGAAATTTTGCCTTGGGAAAAACAAATAAGCAACTTCAACAGAAAGAAAACAAGTTAAAATAAAGAGTGTGATTCAGCTGCAGTCACTCGCAGTATAGCCATCAAGATGGTTAGAAAAAACCCCAAACACCTGCATTTTCATCCCTGTTCAACGTAGCACTGGGGAAGGTGGAACATTTCCCAGGTACTTTCTCTTCTGTTTGTGATCTGCAAAGAGAGATCTGCTCCAGTTTTGCAGTATGTACCCACTGCCCAGCAGGAGAGGGCACCAGAATATCAGGACTGGCTTTGGCTCCCTGGCAGCCTGCTCAGGGGCATCCTCGAAGGGAGAGGTGACAGAGCCCGACCTAAATTTGAGGCTACCATTGCACTGCCCACTTTATCTCATTATTTTCCAGACTCCTCTCTGCACTCCTGGCATCTTTGTTTTCTCACTGCAGCTTTTTCAGTGCAGCCCAATGTATAACCTGCCCATTTTGATTTTTGCCCTATTTATATAGGGCTTTAAGGGTCATTTCCTTGTACCCTTGAGCCAGCAGCTGCACCGAGCCCCCTTCTTTTTCAGAGCTGCCTGCGAAGTCCGTGGACCTGGCTGCTATTAACCTGACGGAGCTGGTGAATGGCATGCTGAACACGGCACTCAGAGGTAAGGTGACAAGGCCAGGCAGGTCACACAGGCTGTCAGCCCGCCGGTGAAGGGGATAAAGGGCTGAGGGTGTTAGCAGCAGCAGCCATGAACGCGTGCTGTCTGCCTCCAGAATTGATTCTGGGAGCGTGTTACCCTGGAGCATTTATGATGCAGATAGCTCTCTGCCCCAAAGTGTCTGGAAATTAGTGTGTGTTTATATAGAGACACATTATAATCACTTATGGGATGCCTTTAGAAAGCAATTTATAATCCAGTTTAGGTTTGAATTAAAAAATAAAAATAAAATTAAAAAAAAAAGCACTACAAATGATCCTTCCCTCAGTGGAAATGAGAAAGAACGGAGTCTCAGGCAGCTGCATGGTATCAGCACCTCAGGAGTCTGTTAGAAATCAAATGAGCTGAGTCAAAACTTGTTGTTCTCATAATTTGTTCCAACTGCTAATAGCATGGGCATGTGTTTCTGCAGGTACCAAAAAACTCTTCTCTTTGCTGAGCATCACGTCTTACAGCTCATTTGCCTTCCACAAAGTGTCAGTCACCGTGTATAACAGTGAGTGCCTCGGCTCTTCGCTCCGTGCAGGAGCATTTTCTCTCACACAGCCTGTGCAGCCAGACACTGATTTTTCTCTGTCTTTCCCTACAGTTTCTAATGTAAAAAATGTTGACCCTGGCAAGTTCCCCATGCATTACTGCTACTGTTTGAACAATGTGACAAATGACTTGGCAGGTGGGTATACAAGAGAGGTTGGCAATTGCATTTGCTTAAGCTGAGTTATTTCCTTTGGAGCTGAAAGCTGTAGCCTGAATTCTTCAGACTTCATCCCTATGAGCACCATCACTATACTGAGGTCTACAGCCACCACTCACAACGAGTGGCTGCTCTGAACCTGGGGGGAGACTCGAACTCAGCCTCACTAGGCTCCCAGCCAGTCTGGGATGGAGCCATCAGTCAAGTGACCAGCATGGTTTACCCGGAGGAAAGACCTCTCTTTCCTCCTTGGGATGCAAACAGCAGTACAAGACAGACAGCCCAGCAGTGTGTGACATGTTACCTTAGCCACTTTTGTTCTCCTATGATAACCCACAGGAGATGAGAGGACTTCTTTGCACCAACAGACTTCAATTACTTCAATGAGCCCAACAGAAGTGAAAAGCAAGGACTAATGTCTTCCTAGAGCTGTTTAATGGCATGTAAAATGCTCTTGGACAAATCTTTCACCTACAATCCCCATTCACACCCTGTATATCACAGTATTTAACATTCCTAGATGGGTCTGAGCACTCTGACTCAATGGCTGATTAATCAAGAGTAGCTCAGCAGCTAGGGACCAGAGTCCATATCTTCTAAACTGCATGTGATGACCTCACATATAAGCCACAATGGTTTTCACATCTTTTTCTGGACCCCAATATCTCACAAACCTTTTTGCATAATGACTCAGTCTGCCTTGGAGAATAATGGAGAAACTTTAATCTTTCTGCCTCAAATCCAATATATCTTGGTGATTAAAGCTTCCTCCCAAGTAGTAAAAAATTGAGGTCCCAGCACAGGGCTCATGTCTGTCACTCTCTAAGTGAGAACAATGACCTGATATTGCTAGAACCAGTTATAAAAAAGTTATACCACCACCACTACTAGCCATTTTTTGAGCTGACAACATCATTAGTATGTCTGAAGTAGGCCTCAAAGGAGACCATCAGATGCCTCCTGGGAGGTCCTACACAGCAGATAGGCAGTTAGTACAGGCAAAGCCTACAGCTTTAGTTCTTCTACATTTAAGCAGACTAAATAGAGTGTTACTTTAAATTGTTCTCTTGAACAGACAAATTCCATTTAAGTTTACTTTAGGCTATTTTGGATATAATCTCTGAAATATACTTCTTGAGTATTTCAGTGGCTTCCTAAACCCAATCCCACTCAGCAAAAACATTTTGAACCTTAAAATAATTTAAAAGTTGTCACTTACAAGCATATATCCAAAATACGACCACATATAAAAGTGATGTTTTGACTTAGCATAGATGATAGAATATGTGTTTGCCATCATGAACTTTCTCTATTTTGTTTTCTAGATTTTACAGCTTTACTTGTTGATATTATTGGAAATTCCACCAGTTATCTCACAGAAATTTTCAAATCCACTTCTATTCTCTCAGGTTTGCATTTCCTTTGAACGTTTATTGTCTTATTTGTCTGGTTTACTCCTGGTGTAGAAACAAGCATAGAAATGTGTATAAAAGCCTATTGCTCTTACTCAGCAGCATTTTTCCTGCCAAGTATGGACTGCAGTTGCAAACAAAGTCTCCTTAGAGGAACAAGATGTGTGTATATATATAAATATACATAAATGTTTCTATGAGCTGCTATGTTTTGTTTGAAAGTTTGGTGAACTACTATTAAATACTGGTATTTTGGGCAATTATGATTTCCAAAGAATAATTATGGTCTATATTAGCTGAAGAACTTTTTTTTTTCCCCATGTAAAAATGCTGGGAATTTAGAATTTTAATTAGATAGAGACTTTTCCCCTGGAAATTCTGGCATTTGGATTTGATGTTGGTTCAAGATCAGAAAGAAAATATTTGGCCAGTTGTAGTAGCCCCATGCCATTTTGTGTTCGTATTTTCAGCTGTTTAAGATTATATCATATAATGAAAAGCGGTAACAATGACCTGGTTTAAATTTTTTTTTGCCTTTCAGTGCGTCAGAGCAATGATTCAGATTGTATCTACATCTGTGTGATGACAGGGCAGACAGGTAAATGATGAAACCATTCTGCCCCAGAATATCGCCCCATTTACTCTCAGTGTTGACTTATACTAGAAATAAGCCTTTCTTGGTATTTGTAAGCATTATTATCTGCAGGGAGAAATCTGTCTGACTTTTGGGAAATGCTGGAGAAGTCTCCTGTTGTTAATTACACATTTTCAAGTAACTCATCTTCTGACCTGGGTAAGTACATCCTGAGGAATAAAAGGAAACAGCAACAAAACTGAAAACCACATCCAGGTAGCACTTGCAATAAATACTCCATCTTCATAATGTAAAAATATTTTTTTAAATATTATTTTATATTTTTATCATTATTTGTATATATTTATACATTGTTATATATTTTATATTATTAAATGGAGTGATATTTTGTATTATTATAACTGTAATATAATATTTATCGTATAAGTAAAATTTACAAACTTTTAAAATATTATCTATGAGATCTTCTAGTGGAGGAATGATCCCTCCTGGGTTGAGAGCTTTTACAGAGTTCAGTACTGGACTGGGGAGGCTTCCTGATGTTCTTAATCTAAACGGGTACCTCCCTTAGCTCTCAGTGCAGATTATCTCCTACCTTTACTTGAATTACCTTGAGAAGGGAGTTGAATATATTCAGCCCATGTGCTGTGTGGCTCCTCCACCCAAAACTGCTTTGCCAGGTTGAGTGGCATTTCAGACATTCACCCCTTGTTGCTGCCCATGACTATTTCTCATTTTTAATGCTTGACTAAAAAAGGCAGACAGTGAAATCAGCAGCAGGTTCACCAGTGCTGAAAGCTGTAGGATGTTTCAGTCCTTTACAAAAAAAATAATCACAGACATTTTGCCCAAAATTACTTTCATTTGAAAAGACAACAGCTATTTCTCTAATACTGGAACCTGATTTATTTAATTTCTATCACACAATTTGCAATGGATGGTGAGCACACTAACCTTATCTTCTCATACCTCAAAGATATAGATTCCATTTTTTCAAGTTTCATGAAATTGCAGGAAGACCCAAACAAAACAGTGGATCCATCACCAGAACACGTGTGGACATTTAAAAGTGAGCAAGTTTTGTCAGACCTAAATTTATATTCTTCTTGATTGATGTCTTGTTAAATGATTATTTATGTTTTCTGTGATGTTGTACTATGATTACAGAATAAGATAGAATTCTATTCTAAACAGCAGAAGTTCAGGTCAGTAATATACTGAATAGCTGAGGAATAGAAAACCTATTGTAAAAAGACTTTTTTTTTCCTGTATTTTATTAGAAACAGTTTTCTAAGGAGGCAGAAAAGTAAAAAAAAAAAAATATAAAATTGTTGGTTGTTGGTTTTGTTGGCTTTAAACCAAGAAAAATACAGTTCAAACTGCTTCCTCTTCTTTCTTATTGTAATTTTTTTTTCTCTTAAACTTTATATGATGTTGTGAGTACCTGAATAGTTCATAAACTTCAGTGTATTTAGCTTTGCCACAAGGCTAAAAGATGGAAGTGCTGATCTGCCTCATTTTGAAAGCAGAAAAACAAATCTGCATTTTCTTCCACGTAGTAGGAGCAAAGAGAAATTCAGAATTTTACTTTATACCTCCTCATCACTGCAATTACATCTGTCTACTACAAAATTTCTACATTTTACCTAGTCACTCTGCTGTCTTTTTATAAGCTCTTTTGTTTTGCTCAACCACATACCAGGGTTTGTTATCTCTTCCAGCCCCGAGTGTCATTCCTGCCACAAAATGTCATTAGTTCTCAAATTCCAGTATCTGCCCTCCAGTACCTGCCTGCTCCCCTTCACGTAGACAAGAGCTTTCATCTCTTTCCTTTGTAGTGAAGCAGTTCAGAAAATAAAAAATAATTCATCTGAAGAAAAAAACCAACACTTTGAAGGAACATTTCAGCTTCTTTTTTTCTTTTTTTTTTTTAATAAAAACTTGCATATCAAAATGTTCTCAGTTAAAATTTCAAACGTTATGGTCGCTCCCCACGCTTCTTTATTGAAAATGAAATGGAGAGGTGACTGCTCAGCTGCCAGGGGAAGTACTCGAGGAGCAGATGGGATTTTCTGAGTGTATTTTAGATACTGTTGTCCCCCCATGTGTTACGCTCGCTGCTGCCAGGGGTCACCAGCATCTATAGCAGGTTGCTGGTGCCCTCCCTCTGTCTCTCCTGCCTCTCCAGCTACCAGAATCCCTCTTGCCCTGAAAGGAGAGGAAATGCCCACCATGCGGTTTCCACCGTGGCCAAAGACAGTTGGACTGAAAGGATCGGGGTTTCCATCACCACACCTGGATGCTTCCAGACCACAAGGCACCACCGGACCTCCTCCGACTGCTGGGGGGAGCTTGGTCTCATTGCCAGCCCTGCAGCCCAGCCCCAGTGAGTACGGTGTGGAGGACTGATACCCGCTTTGACCCATTAACAGCGGGGTTTGGCCCAAAGCTGAAATCCCGTCTCTGAGGTTGAGGTTGGAAAGTCCTTCAGGGAGACCCATTCTGGGTCACTAGTGAGTAGATTTTTTTATTATAGAACTGCTAAAATCAGTTATAGGGTCCATCTGTAGTTTCGTACTCCTTGGGGAAAAACTAAGCCTTGCTCCTCGTGGACACCTCTGCCACCCAGGTCTTCGCTAACATTTTGCTCCACATATGGTGAGCAGACTTGTGAGAAAGCAATTACAAAACTGCTTCTCTTGGTCTCCACTAAATAAACCTTCTTTAAATCCTACCCTTTCCCAGCCCATGGACTTTGCAAGATCAAGCAAAGTACAGCTTTTGTCCTTCCTTTTTCATCTTGACATTTTTATATGCCACTGGAAGTACCGGGTGAGGGACTCTGGCTGTTGAGCTGTCTCATATAGAGCAGTTCTCAGCAGACAAATAAACAACAAATATCCTGAATGACACAAAGCTTGTGTCTGTCTGTTCCCACAGCTGACACGTACGCATTTTGGATGCAGACGGAGTCTCCTCTAGAAACCAGCAAACTGATGCAAACAGAGCCAGGTGAGATTGATCTGGGATAATAACAGTGTGTCAGTTGGCACGTTTATGAAAGAAAAAAGTAATATATAGAAACAGGTAACTGTGAATGTACATCGATGTCCGTGTAAGTGTTTATTAGTGGTCTGTGACTTCAGCCTTTTTTTTTTCCTTTTTTTTTTTCCTTTTTTTTTTTCCTTTTTTTTTTTCCTTTTTCTCTTTCCATCAACCTTCCTTTATTTATTTTTTTTTCCTGTTAAGATGTCAATGCAACTTATATTCTTTTCCTGCCTTCAGATTTACCTCCCTCAGTTCTGTCTACGCCACCCTTCAGGCCTGGTGTGACACTGAAACTTTACTCAGCTACCAGTAAGTAGCTGCACCTTCTGCAGCAAAAATAGTAGTACGTTTGAAAGTATACCAACTTAAAAATTTTCCCATGCAGAAACAGCATATATATTTAATTTGCAGGATGTCTTACATACATAAAACACCCAAAATATACAAGGGACTGCTTCCATATTTGTTTGTGAATCACATAATCAAACATTCACTCTGACCCAGAGCATCAGGGATGCAGCCAGCTCCCTGCCTCCATACAGGCAACCTTTAGGTCTTCATTTTGGCATTACTTGGAGGCTTAAAATCCAAGTTCTGGACTAAATTCCCCTCTAATCTCAGCATTTCTAATGATATTTTGAATACTAACTTCTCTCAGCTAATTGTAATTCCGATACAACTTTACTTGTCTGTAAAGGTTTTGGGGTGGTTTGGAGTTTTTTTTGGGGGGGGGATATTTCAGGCATAGACAAAGGTTCTTTCACAAATCTTCAATTTTTCTGTCACTGGGAATAATCTCGTAGTAGGTGAGTAGTGGTATCTTACAGTTTTGGTGTTGTTTGCTTCTTCCCTTGTTTTTGCCATTGTTGCCTGTTGCAGCAATATGAGACCAGGGTCCTGTGTTGTTATTTTTTGTAGCTTTTGCTGATTCTGATCAGGTTTTTCATAGGTCCCAGTCCTGTTCTGTTTCGCTGAGTTTGTCAGCATATGTTGTGTTGCATGTCTTCCTTTTACTTTTTCCTTCTTTTTTTCACTCATACTTTTAGAAAAGAAAGCATTTGAGAGCACAGGACTCAGTGGGGCATCTGTTTTCAGAAGTAAATAATGTTATCAGAGTTAAAAACATTGACTATGGAAAGCAAAGCTTGACAACAGCATCAAGTGACCACACAAACGCAAGTCCAGCAGAAAGGCAGTGGCAGGAAAGAGGGAGGGGAAGCTATTGCCTGGGAGGCCTGAGAACAGGGCAGTCGAAAAACTGTCTACTGAGACATGTTTTCAAGGAGAAGACTCACTGGTGCTGAGCCAAGGAGCAGTTCTTGGTGTAAGAGACTTTTCAAACCATGGAGATAGGAAGTCAAATATTCTTTTTTGATCTTTCTCACATTTTGCTTCTGTTTAAAGAGCTCAAAATACTAAAGTCCTTGTCTTACCCCCCATGATACACATTGGTTGCATGAAGAAAATGAGCCAATGTCATATCATAAATATAGTTTGACTTCTTGACACTCTTGATGGTGTGAAGAGAAAAACTTAAGATGAACTAGGTCTTCTCATCTTGATTGGGAGCAGAGGAACATGCTATGGTAATTCTCATCCATCAAAAACTCTGCACAAAACCAAAGTTCTCTGCATATCTTGTTTGGTTTAGGTGAGTTTGAATTGAAGATGAAATAACAGCCTGTCGACTGGAAGTTGCTTGAGTGAATGACTGGACTTGGGGTGTGCTCAGTCCAGAGTTTGTTCATGTGCCAGTTGCTGTCTGGTGGGCAAGACTATAGACCCTGAAGAACCTAGGACTGAGAACCAGCCTGTTTTGAAAAGGCTGGGAAACAGGGATTTCAATGAGATCAGGGAATGGAGAGTCAATAAAAGCCTCTTTATCAGAAACCATTGTGACAGAGGCTGTCTACCTGCATATACCAATTCTGCATTTGGGGAAATAAATCAAACAGTGGGATCATAAAGCAATGAAGAGCATCCACAATGCTCTGAAAACTGAGATGTTATTCCAAGAAGTCATTTCTTAAATTAAAGAAGTGGATGCCAATTGATAAAATATGCAAGTGTGCATATTAGAGCATGCAGGGAGGGATATTGTAAGTCTGAATTATTCACAATAGCCATAATGTTGCTTTTCACTGACAGCAAAATTTAATCTCAGTGTCAGAGAGATGTGATATTGAGTTAATAATGGAAAGGGATGATTCCTGCAGCAAGAACTGGGCACTGATCTGCCTGTGACAGTAATGTGGTAATTTCAAACAGAAAAGAGCAAAGCTCTGCCCAGGGAGAGTTTTCTGGCCTCTTGATTGACTCGATTTCTTGGGAAAGAAAATCCTTAAAAAATAAAGTTCTGAAATAAATTCCTATTTTTAATTCATTATTTTTTAAAATTTTAATCCAAATCTGTAGGAACTTACGAATTGAAAGCAAAAATATGTTTCACAGTAGAAATTTATTACAGAAGAGATGTAAAACATTACTATGAAGGACTGAAAAATTTTTATTTCGTTAATATGATGTGAGTATACTATTCAATCCAAATAAAATTAAATGCAACATTAATTGAAAGAGAATTTTAACATTAAATAAATATAGTATTATGTAAATGCAACATTAATTTAAAAATAAGTGATTGCCAAAAATGAAAACCAAAGCAATCTGTTTAACTTTCAGCCTTTTTATTTGACTTCTCTTTCCTACATAGATGAATCCAAATTGAAATTACAGTCATTCAATTTGCTTTTCGATAAAGATGAGTTTCTGCTGACAAAACACACAGCTTGAGTAAAGCATTTAACACTTGTTCGACAGGACAGTGAGCACCCACTTTTGTGGAGACTTTGAGAATCAGTGGAGGGTTGCCTTTAACAAGTTTTAATTATTCACAACTCCAGCATCCCTCTTCATGGACAACGTTAAAACCTTATAGCCATCAAGTTTGATGTTTGGTTATTAATGTAAAGAGTATTTATTAAAGAAAGAAACCACTAATTTTTAATTGTAATTGAGTGGAAAAAAAACAAGTTTTGTCAAACACTATGAAGTGGACAAAGCTTAATGAGATTACACAAAGCTGCTAAAATGAAGTGAAATGAGGCTCCCTCTTGCCCATCCCTGAACAATTATATCTGCTCTTTGTGTAGCATCTTTGATAAAAAACTAGTTTTCAGAGGGGCCTGTGAGTTTGGGAGCTGCAAGTGTCTGCCCCTTCCTCCTCCATGACTCCTGCTACCTTGGGCAAGCGCTGGCAGAAGAGAAATAGTTTCATAGCGATCTCTTTCAGGTAGACAGGGAGAGAAAACAGGCAGAGCCTCTGTTTTCCTCCTGCCTGTGAATGCCATTTCATATTAAACTTCTTGTCAGCACTAGACAACTCAAGCTTATTTCAACAGAACTTCATTAGTCCAAATTTAACCTCCGTAACCTCTCCTATCGCATAGCATAAGCTGGCCCAAAGCTATAAAGCATGGGAGACACGTGAACCTGGAAATGCAATTACACTGTCTAAGGAGATTATACTCCGCAGGTAAGGCAGTTTATCTACACACGGCCAGAGCCTGCTGCTGGTTACACAAACGGAAAAAACAGTTGACAATCACACTGCAGCCACCTTCGCTCTGCACGTTCAGGTTCTCCCACCCCCATGGGTGCATGTGAGGGGGACACCCACATCGTGCAAAATGTGCCCTTTCACAGCCTGATCCCTGGTTATCTTTTCAGAGGACCAGCCTGGTGTTTGTAGGGTTGTTCCTTGTTTTTCAGGGTGCTGGTGAGGGGTAGACATCCCTTTGGAAGGAATGCTGTGTGCAGCTCCCCAGGGTCAGATGGGATGCCTTATAGGGCAGGTGGCCTCACTGCAGCAACCCAAAATGTATCCTCACACACAGCATCTCCTCTTCAGAGCATGGTTATTAAATATGCAAAACAGAGGTAGTTAGACACCTATTTTACCTCGTAGCCTTTTAGCATATTGTAAATATTGTATTTTTTTTTCTAGCAAATCCTTTGATTTTGACCCATTATACCACAACTGTTAGCTGGGGTTCAAGGTCATGTGTGACAGTTAATGGTTTGGAGAAGTCAATACTATGGCAAATGTTAGCTTTTTCTATTAATATAATGAAGAAAAGCTGAAAACAGCTTTAATTTTGCCTTACATTTTCTCAGTTTCCCCCATTTTCACCTTCCCTTCTTTTCTATGACAGAAAGGGAGTCTGGAGGCAGATTGTTTTTGAAACTGCAAAACCACATAGCAATTCAGAATTTTATTATAAGCTGCCACTACCTATTCTGTAGTATTTAGCTTCTCCTGCAGCCTGGCACAGCTGCGTTTTCCAGTGGGATGAAATGTTTGGTGTGCAAATGTTTATCTCTTGCTTCTGGCTGCAGGAGATTCAATGAATAGACTAAACCAGATATTTTCCTTTTAGCTGGCTCAAAAGAGGGGAAGAGGGAGCCCATCCCCAGGTACACCCTTCCCCTGCATTTTTCTTAAGTTAAATGGTGGTCACTTGAAAAAACAACTAAGTAACCAGCTGGCTCCTGGCAAAAAAAAAAATAATAAAATGGAGAAATTATTCCTACCTTCCTCTCAGTGCAGGCAAAAAATTACAACTTCTCCTCCAGTTACTTGTGAGTTTTCATGAAACCTGTGGAAATGTATTTATCCAGATCTTTACCTGTCCCTAAAAACTGGGCTGAAATTAGCTGATTATTCAGTTCACTAGAAAAAAGAAGGGGAAAATGGATGAATAGAGAGATGGACAGAGAGAAAGCCATGCATAAATCATGTTTATTTTATTAATGAGGCTAAACAAAAGTGATAGAGAGAGCAGTGAGAGTCTGTTTGTTTATTAGCTCAGTCATATTTAATCTGGGATTCAGATTTAGAGAGTGGGTGTAAGGAAACATGCAGAACTGGAAGTGAATTTTTTGTTAAAGTAAAATATGCATATAGAAAACATCAAATATAATAAATGTACAGTGCTGTTGTTTGTCTTACTGTCTTACTCTGTGGAAAAGTCATGCTTCAGTGGCAACTGGACCTCCACCTAAACAGGTAACAATAGAAAAAGTACTTCTTTAGAGTTGTTTCTTACATTTGTGATAAATAAAAACAATGTGGTTTTAAGTAACTAACTAGTAGTGATAAATAATAATAAACTGAACAGAATAGTTGTGCTTTCACTCAAGCCACTGCACCTGGCAGTGTTTTTTTCAATTATTTGCCTCACACAGATTTGATTTTAAGATACCTACTTAAATTTATTAATCTGCATGTTTCTCATAGTCCAGATAAGGCATTGCAAGAAACTTAATGAGACAAACATCTGAGCTATTTCAGAGTTGTAATTTTTCCTAGGGTGTCCACAGGCGATCCTGAAGGAGTCCCGTGTGACCTCGCCTCCTGTCACTCTTATCGTCCAAAAGATCAGTCCCTGTGTCATGGAGCTGTGTCGGTTTTTTCAGCTGTGCCTCTGTGTTGGTCAGAGAAGATATTCCAGAAAGGAAGCAATGAGGTAAAACCTGGTTCTAATTTCTCTCTCTCTCTCTGATTAAAATACTCCATAGGGCTTTTTGCAAATGACAATTTTCAATCACCAATGCTTGTTTTTGTGGGTCTGTGGCTACTGACTGAGACCCAAATGAGCCTGCAGTGCACTGATCAACACCTAATCTGGCTTCCCTTATTCAATCTAAGTGAATAAAACTCAGGTGATTTTTTCCGAATGTCTAATGACATCATTGCAGTCAGAATCTAGCTTTTTCTTTCCATTTTCAGTAAGAGCAGTATGATATGCATACAAGTGTGCTCATCATAGAATCATAAAATGGTTTAGGTTGGAAGGCACCTTAAAGATCACCTCATTCCAACCCCCCTGCCATGGGCTGGGACACCTCCCATCAGACCAGGTTGCTCAAAGCCCCATCCAGCCTGGCCTTGAACACCTCCAGGGATGAGGCATCCACAGCTTCTTTGGGCAACCTGTTCCAGTGCCTCATCACCCTCACGGGGAAAAATGTCTCCCTGAGATCTCATCTAAATCTCCCCTATTTCAGTTTGAAGCCATTATGAAAGATAGCAACCTACTGTTCTCCTAATTTTAACTACATCTTTAGGTACTGCGTTGAATACTATTCTTGGTTCTTGAAAAATGCAAGCTATGTCTGTGAAAGAGTCAAAAGACTTGCTTACTCCCACAGTAAGTATATTTTCTTTTTGTGTCTCTAAGTGCCTTATTATGAAGGTATAACAAAATGTAGATATCCACAGAGCATTTGCTGTCTTTTGTCACATAGCTATTTTATCTGATAATTATTCTTTAAAAGGATTTTAAAAATATATATTATTTAACCTTCACGTATGTTTTTAATATTTTCCTCATAAAACCTCTTCTGATAGCAGTTTTCTTTTGTTCTTCCAGCATTAAAACAAAAATGCCTTAAAAACATCTGTATGTTGGTCTAGAGCACTGAGGAATTTTACTGCAAGTTGAAAGATTGGTGGCAGTTTTAGTTTTCTTTTTCATTGATCAGTGTAAAAATCAGGATGTAACAGGTTATTTGCAAATATTTGTAACAAGACAGACTATTAACCAGATGTTAACCTAAAAATATGTCTTCCTGCAAGGCATTGTAAAAATAATGTGTAAAAACAGATATACTTTATACAAATTATGTAACTAATGTAACTGCAATAAAAGCATTAAAAGACTTATAAAAAATTGTATTTCATAAAGGGTATTTATATGGATGGCTAATGAATGTAAATAGTTTATTCCAGCTTATTTACAATTAAGATGAAGTAATCCAAATTATACAAAGTAATTTAAAAGAAATCTCAAATACTGAAGAGAAGAAGGATTTTTCCAGCTGTTAAACATATGCAGATTATCAGTTATTCCAAATCAAGAGTCTCCCATTACTTCAGCAATTCACCTAGTGCAGACCCAGTATTGACTGCTGGCACACGCTGCCAGTCACTGATCTCCAACCAGACTTTGTGCTGCTGACCATCACCCTCTGGGCCCCACCATTCAGCCAGTTTTCAGCCCACCTCACTGGGCTCATTCAGGCCATGTATCAACAACTTCTCCATGAGGATTTTATGGAAGACAGTGTCAAAGGACTTTCTGAAGACAATGCAGCTCACGGGGCCTTGGAGGACCCAAGCCTTTTGTTCACATAAGGATTTTTACAGTTCCCAAGTTGTCAGACTTCTCACTTCTCCACGCAAAAACTCAGTGGACAGTTTGCCTTTGTCAATGGCATCTTTGAAGGGTAGCTGTGTCTTACCCTGGCAAGAAGCACACCTCCCCAAGAGGAGAAGTCTTCCCAAAGTTCATTGACTCAACCTTCCCCTGGATTTCACTCAGCTTTGGATCAGAGCCACCGTGGATAGACGAGTGCAGACTTCTCAGCCCTGAGGAATTCCAGTGTTTAAAGCTGTATAAATTTTCACTCATCTTTCATCACTGAACACTACCTTTTGCTAAACTATTAAAGCCATATTCACATGCCCCAGAGATTTTGTGAGTGATTAATAACAATGAGATGATTGTTATTTAATTACAGCCAAGAGTATTAGGGAAAGTTACTATACTGTGAATGCACCTGCAGAACAGACTTCTCAGTATAGATCCTTTACATGGCTGGAGCTATATTACTAAGATACACTGTGGGCATAATGACTCTAAGGAATCTCATGGAAGAATTAATTAATAAATGTTGAAGTGGGTTTGATAAAGGAAGTGATCACATGGGTGAGGTATATACCCAAGTGGGTATAAATAACTTAGTACTGACTTTGTTGAAATCCATTTGTCCTCCATCCAACTGCTTTTGAATAATATCCCTCAAGGTAAGTCTTTCTAGATGTACTCTATAATACAGGAGTCAGGAAGAAAACAACGTAGAATAAGCTATTTGGGACTATGGAGTTGTAGACTAAAGTGTAGGTAGGAGATTTGGGGAAGCAGACTGTAAATATTTAGACCTATTAGATTTATAAACTCACTTCTTGATGAAATATTACAAGATTTTTTAATAGAAATTGATGTAGTATTTGACCTTAGGGGAGCAGATAATCAACAGTAGATACATATTTGAAAACTGATAAACAAATGTTCATTTATTTGGCTGTAAAAAACCCTGTGCTTGACTGACTTAGAAAATCATTCTAAATTTAGGGTAAACTGTGCCTGTAGTTCGGAACCAAACTATTATCTGTCATTTAATGAATACTAGTGCTAGGCTTTTAGCTTCAGAAGAATTCTTTATGCACTTTTCTGTTAAGAACAAACATACCTAGAACCTGAAGATCTCCAAACAAGATTGAGTTTATCATTAGGAAAATCCATTAAATTAGTCTCAACACAGATTAGAGTAAAAGTTTTACTACAAAATGGAAGAGATTTTCGTGATGTGAAGCAAACGTATAATGGATTGCAGATTAACTGGGTTCAATAGAAGCAATCCCAGAATGTCTCCTCATCTACACATTACACAATGTTTCACAATATCTGCATTTAAACTTACTGTGAAGAATAGTTTAAACACCCCATTAGATCAAGTGAGATGTGAAAACTGTTTGCAAAATAAAATAAACTTCAAGTGCACCATTTTATTGCTAAATGGACTTTCCCTGCCTATGGCACTTTGGCAGAGACTATTGACTTACTTAAAGCAATATTAAAATAAATCGTTAGTCAGTTTTATAGAGTACATTGCTAAAATTTTAAGGATCCATAAAGCTTATCATTGCTGTAATATGTACTTTTACTATGGTAAGGGGAAAAACCAAATTGTATCAAGTAGAAATGGCCAGACTACAAAAGAATGATTTTCTAAGATGATGTCTTCCCACTCCCAGATTCAAGAGATAACATTCTGCCTAATATTTTACTTAAATCACCAGGCACACCAGTCTGCTGTTTGTCTTTTTTTTCACCTTTGGATTAAACAAAAAATGATTGTAATTCTGCTGGTGTCTATGTCAATGGTGTCATACAGCGGTAAGTGGCAATGTATTTTTATGACTATTTGACATTTATGCCTAAATATTGTTTTAAGTATGTGCATTTTGAAATAGTGCTTTAGAAGCACACCTCTGTCCCCTCAAGCTTAGTTGTTCAACACCTAAATGCACATAAATAAATTTATCTATCGAGTATTTATAGTTTTCTCAGGATTTATAGTGCAGCAAGAAAGATTTAGTGGGATTAAAAATATAACCAAATATTGCAACCTCCCTTCGGCCAGCATTTGGTCATTATTTAAATCCTTTAAATAATCCTCAAAAAAAGATTTACAAGTTGCATATAAAGAGATTCAACTCATTAAATACATGTGTATTGTCTAAATTCTCCAAACCATTCCGTATATCCTGACATATAACTCCTGTTCAGCTAAAGCTCCTCTTTCATATTTTTTTTTTCTTCATGTAAGTCTTCAGCTTTTACTGTCAGGGGTGAATGAGCTTCCCAGTGACAGGAATGGGCAAACATTTCAAATTTCTGCTGTCCCTGCACTGTGTAGGAATGTCATTAAGGGCAGTGGTGTGCTGGTGAAGAGAAGGACTCTTAGAAGGTCTAACAGCATTTCTGGTCGCTCCATGGGGTTATTTTTAAAGGGAAAAGAAAGCTCAGCACCTCGGCATAGACAAAACTCTGCACTGACCTACTTCAACTTCACCAGTGGCCTCTCTTCTCAGGGGCTGCGTTCAGCAAAAGTCAGTAAAGAAACAGCATAAAACACATAGGCTAAAATATATTGACGAAGCTGAACCTTAACTCGTACTATACGAATAGAAATCAGTAAGAATATTAGTATTTCCCACTGCAGTGGTAGATAATGCCCAAATATCTACACCATGTATTCATAAAAAAATAAAGGGGTAATTAGTCCCCAGATGTAAAAGGGACTAAACATATTGATAATATCCAGTGTACTCAGAAATATCTGGACACTCAGAACTTTTTTGAACGGAACATTTGAAAAAGATTTCCCCTTAAACCTTAAAAGGTTGTGCTACATTTTTTAGATCCTTTTCCCCCAGCTAAGCACATTCTGAGCACAAAAATTTAAAATGTTACTATTTTTAGGTTTGGAGAGGGTTATTGATATATATTTATGTGGGATTTATTCTGCTGATCTCTGCTTTGAGACTGAAACAAATATCTGCTCGTGAACTAGCATCTTTGTAAGGAGCTAAGGTATTTTACCTTGAATAAATCAAATAAGGTGGGTTTGTGGCACCCTGACTTTTCTCAGCACAATCAATTTTTCTGCTCCCTAAGGATTACAATGACTGTGTCCATGCCCTGTATTGTGACATTTTAACTTGCCATGATTGCAAAACACAACTGGAGGTGCACTGATGGTTTTTTGATGGGCTTTTTTCAGATAAAACTTCAGAAAATCTTTATCAGAGTAGAAACATCACAGACACAGTCCAGAAATATTTTTACATATATCTGAATAGTGAAAGAAATTCTGTGGATAAGTTATACAACTGGAAAGCCCTAGAGCTAATGTATCACACAAGTCTCCTCAGGACCCGTGCCAAGTCATTTAGCAGGTTTTAGAGAAAGGTGAGAGATGGTGACCTTCCCGGGGTCTTTTGAGGCTTAAAGGATTGATTTTTGTAGTGCAGTCTTTCACTGGTTATATGGAGAACGGCGCAGGACCAATAGCCCCAAAAGATATGATAGCAAAATAAGAAAAGAGAATAATTCATCCAGAAAGTATTTGCTCTTTGTCCTTTCCCCATCAATTTAAAAAAAAATTAAGCAATTTTGTTAGCAAACATTGGTTCATTGATCTTGACCTAGTGACAATTAGAAACAGCATTCTTTGTAATGAAAGGATTAGAAGAGCCAAAAGTTTACCAAGCTGCTGACCCTGTGATGGAGATTTTTCTCCAGGGGAGCCTCAAACATTTATGTGTTAATTGCGTGTGTGCAAATTAAGTTTGCTGAGAAGAACTAAGTGCAAGTGAAGGATGCTGGAGCAATCACAGCTTCCCACAGTTCTGTGGCGTGGCTTTATCAGTGCTCTCCTCTGGCTCGTTTCAGCTCAATGGGATTTTCATGTTTTCCAAACTTTTGCTGGAAGGACCGAATGATCAATGGCTATTCATCAACAGACGCTGAGTTGGAGCCATGGAGTTATCCAGAGTGTCAAAACCTGGGTCTGGATGCACTTGATAGAACATGGCTTGGGGGAAGGATGTTTTGTCATTGCAGAGGAAATACAGGCTTTAAGCCACACAATAAGGGGCAGTTTTACTTTAGCTAGCATTTTTAAAAATACGTAGCCTTCAATACAATTTATTTTGCACACCATTAGTTTGCTTGAATCTGAATTTCTCGTGGTCACCAAGCTTTCAACAGACTTGTTCCAGTCCTGTGAAGAAGGCCAGCCTTTATCAGGAGACCTTTTCTGGTTTGTGGAACGATTCTGTTCCCCTCAGACCTGCTGTAATGAAGGACACTTCTGATGGATTGCTGTTCATCCAAACGCTTTTGGTTGTGACCAGGACTTTCAGGAAAAGAATAACAGAAGAGGAAGCACCTCCTCCTACCTCCCCCAATCCCATACCCATATTCTGCCACTAAACTTGAGATAAGAATTGCTGGAGGCATATAACTCTTGTTCACTCCACAAAAGTTGTGGACATTCTGAGAAGGCTGTTATACACTATGTAAAAGAAGAAGTGAAGTCCTATTTTTTCCTAATCCTTTACTAAACATAGATTTAAGCCTTATATCTAAAAATCCACTACTCCTCTTTATTCTGTTATACTTATTGCAGGAAAATGCAACAGCTTAGCAAGATAACTGTCTGCTCTTTCCCAAAATCTTTCATAGAGAAACTGGACAGATTTCCTAAAGCCAGTTATTCTGAGACCTAAGCTATGCCATGCATTTAACATTATTTTTTCTTCTTCAGTTTTCAGATCCTTGAACAAATAAATACCCTTGACTTATTATTGTAAAAAAAAAAAAAAAAAAAAAAAAGTTAAAAAAAAGCGTCAAATTTAAATAAATCCAAAGTAACTCAAATCATGCAGAAGATAAGAACAAGGTAAAAAATGGGAAGGAAGAGAACAAGTAATAATTTTCACTCTAATTCAGGATATGGCAAATAGAAAAAAATAACAGCATTGAAAATATACCACAGCATCTTCAAAAGGAAAAAGAGATAATTAACTTAAGAAAGAAATAGTGACAGAAAAAGAAGCAATAAGACAATAGGCAATAAGGACTTGGAAAAACCAAACCTCTTGACTTCAGATAACCGTAGAGCACAGGCTTACAGAATAGAAACATTCTGGGACAATGAAAGTAGTTTGGCAACTAAAACAATGTTATACAATTCTACTGATTTACCCCAGGAAGTGCTACTGTTCAGAAGAGCAGGGGAATACAAGGGTTAGCACATCTCTAGCAATACCTCAGTTTAACAGAGGACTGATTTTTAAGCCGAAGTCACTGTGACACTTGTGGGCTTTCCTGGGTGCAGATGGAGCCAAGCGTTTCATGGCTTTCATAAATCACCTTTCTAGTGTGGGAAGGGATTCAAAATGCCTGCAGTGTATGTCCCATAATGAAGTATATGTTGTTAGTTTGTTGTTGTGGCTTTTTTTTTTATTGTTGAATCTTTTTCTTCTTTAATTTGTTTGCTGAGGTAGGTGGGCAAGAACTGAAGCCACCAGCATTCCTGCCAGAGCTTCTTGACACGCCTGAAAGAATCTTGAGTAAGAATGGCTTAAGCTTTGCTTTCCACAGTATTGCGTGGCAGAGGGGAATCACTTGTACTTCAGCAGCATTGCAGGAAAGTGTGCTGTTAGCAACTAGCTAGTAACTCTTATCTCAAAAGGGTTTATAAATTGAAGCAAGACTAGGGGCAGTCTGGGGACAGTTCTTGTCATTTACTTTTATAAAAAGAAGTGTGGTTTGTTTATTTTTTCATTTAGACAATGCCACATTCTTCAATGGAGTCTTTCAAAATGTGGAAAGTGTTGCATTATTTTTTGGTAAGTATGTGTTCCAGTTGTACTTGAGCACAGAATAGAAATCCTGTGGAGTTTGCTTTTATATACATTGAAAAGGAACAGGGATTTTTGAGGCTGTAGATTTCCCCAAAGACTATTACAAAACTGAATACTGCTGGGTGTCAAGCATTGCTCAATGTGCCTGCGTTATTGCCTTTTTTAGGCTCTGTGTTCATGCAAACATCACCCATGTGTGACCCACACCTGGCTCACCTCCGTTTACCAAGCATTCTATGGCCGTTCTCTTTCCAGACTGCCTGGGTTCTCACTTCACCTGGTTACAGTCCATCTTCACTAACTTCCCTGCCTTGCTCAACTTTGTGAACAAAATGAAGTGCGTTACTGGTTTTTGTCCCAGGGATTTTGAGGACTACGGTTGTTCTTGCCGGTTTGAGATGGAAGGACTCCCTGTGGATGAAGCTGATGAGTAAGTCTTACCTGTGAGATGTTCTCTTCTGCCATGACCAGCTTTCACTGCCCTCATGCTCTGATGACCCGAAGCATAACACTTGCCTAAAAGATTTAAGGACAGTAGTAAAAAAATAGATTATTTATTCAGAGGGTGTCAGTCCCACACCATCCAGCTCTGCTTAATCTAGTCACTTGCAGCCTAAATATCTGCTGTGACCTATAAATGATAACTTCAGCTCTGGTTTATCAGCCCTGCCCTTTGTTATTCCTACCTGTTGATGAGCACTATCTTTTTGCTCAGCTGATGCCCCGTACCAGTCGCCTTACAGCATGACTTGGAAACAGGTGAAGTCAAGATGGTCATAAACTACAGTATGGGATGATCCACTTGTTCTTTTTTTCTCATAGCCTCCCTTTATTTCCTCACACTTTGATGTGGAGAAATACTCCCATCCTACAGATAAAATCAGAGTCCCACACACCTGCATATAATTCCACCAGTGCAACTCAGGTGGCACAGCTGATTTAAACCGCTTGCAAAGAGTGGCCACTAATGCAATAGAGAATTAAACACCACACCCATCTCCTTAACATATCTACCCAGAAGTCTCTAAATTCTGAACAGATCTTTGTGAAGCAAGTCTCGTTCATTTTGTTGTACTGAAGAATTCTGTCTCACACTGAAATCAGTGCCAAAAACTGGAGGGCCTGTTAATAAGGTAAGTGGGAGAGCATTATTCTGAGCAGCTTAATGGGTTTACAAACTTATCAAACTTTTGTTATGGGGAGCTGTGTAATACACCAGCAATGTAAGCTCATAGTGGACTATAATGGAAATGTTGTTATCTGAGGGGCATTTAAACACCAACAGAATCAGCTAAATAAGACTTCAAGTGGCAGGAGGTTGAGTAGATCTTGCCCTGAATATCTGTGGTACATGCAAAGGTTGGAAGAGGTTGGAGCACCCAGGCACAAAGAAGAACAATACAGCTCAATGGTCCTTCCCAGTACCATGCAGCAGGAACAAAACCACCCAAATTCCACACTGTACTTTGGAGGGATACTATCCCAGACCCTGACTGGGATAGTGAGAAAAAATGTAATCTCAGGTCAGGACAAGTAAAAGGTTGTTCACTTATGCCTGCAGGAGGTGTGAAAAGAAATTCAAAGAGAATCAAAATGCACTCATGTCTAAATAGAAAAAAGCTTTTTACAACAAGGTAATGTAATGTATTAATACCTGAGTGAAGACAGCAATGGTTCAAAAAGAGCTAGTGCCCAGAGATAGATGGAAATTAATCCATCCACTTTCCAGCATGGAATGGTTGGGAAAATGAAGGTCTAACCCTGCTACTGGAAAAAAGCCATTTCTGAACAATTGTGATGACATGCTGAAATGAGAGCTCGAGTCAGTTCAATGGACTGATACCCGAAGAGCTGAGCACCTGGGCTTTCGCTTCACTCAGCTTCATTTTAATGCAGAGCAGTGTAAATGCAGCAACAGCAGAACGATCTGTCAGCAGTTTTGTCCTGAGAAACGGCCACAGAGTCACTTTGTGTTTACAAATTGGTGAGCAGTCTTGTGATGAGGTTTCCTTAGCAGCATGGCAACCCCACTGCAGTTTGCAGTAAAGGGAGGCTGATTATTGTTTTGCCACTGACACAGATATGCCCTTGGTTCAAGAGAGCCTCCAGAGAGGTAGCTGCTACGTGTCTTTCTCGGACACAGTTCCCACAGTGTTGTAATTTTTTCACTAACTTTATTTCTTATAAACTAGTTTGGGAAACCTTGGGTTTTATCACTGCCATTTCTATTTCATAAAAAAGGGCTGAATAACTCACGTAGGTTTTCAAGGCATTGGAAAATGTTTGTGCCTGTAAGAGCAAGCTTGTCCTATTTCCCAGAGTAGCTACTTGTCATGTCTAAATTAGATAACTGTCATATCTACGTAACCTACTCTACCTCCAAAGTACATGGGGACAGAGAAGCAAGGTTTCTAACTGCCTTTGTTGTGTGGTGGTAGGAGAAAGCTGTTTTACTCCAGTGTTAGAAAATTTTTTCATCATCCCTTCCCATGGGTAAATGGTGCATTTAAATTCTGATTGTTGCATAGAAGTACAAGAAACAGAGGATATATAACTAACTGCATGTAGTTATATAGTCTCAACGAGATACAGGGATTCACAGGGTGTTTCAGAGACATTAACCCTCCATGAGTGCCAGGTTCTGTGTAGTTCTCCAAATCTGCAGAGAGAAAGGTTGTAGCAGGACTGGATCCAAGACCTCTGGAGCCGTGCCATGGGGCACTGTTGACAGTGACATGGCAGTGCCATGGGTGGATATTTGGGCACCGATAGTGGATTTCTTATTTAAACTGCTTGTAGAGTCCTTGTAAGAACTCAGGACAGAAGTATAAACCTGGTCTCCCACAGCATTCAGACCTGCTTCCACCATGGAGTTTTGCATCCAGTTGTACTTACCCCATATGACTGACTTAGGGAAAAACAGAACTAAGCTTTTCTTGTGTCTAGGGACCACACTGAGGAGCCCTTTTTCTCCTCTTTTGCATTCTTGTGTAAGAGCAACACGAAAGCATTGCAGTCTGATCTTGAACTGAAAATAAATTGTGTAAACTCTGTGTTATTTCCCTCTTTAAGATGCTGTTTCGAGCACCGCAAATGCTATGATGAAGCAATGGAGATGGAGTGCACGTGGGACCCATCAAAGATTTCTACAGATGTCAGCTGCTCTACTGAAAACCTGACCTGTGGTAAGAGTAAGCCTCACCATAAATTAGATGTTTATTCTGGTCTATCTGCCAAAGGTCATATGTGAATTAGGCAGAAACCACTTCTATGTATGGATTTTTAAGGGCTTAAGTGTTCTACTAAACAGGGGTGAATGGAAATAAGAATACACAGAAACATCAGAGCCCAGCTAGGCAGGATATTTGAAGTCCAATAACTAGACCCTTGTCAGGGCTCCTCTAATAGGCAGCCTCTTGCTGAGGCTTTCCTGACTTGGCAGGACCACTAAGCATTGCTTGAGATACCTCCACACATCAGAAATGCAGCAGTTGTTGGGCAAAGACCTGAAAAACAGTTCACTTCTGAAGATTCAAGGCCTGATTTTTATATCCTTGGAGGGATTCCACTCTTCGTTCTCAAGGTCATACACACTCCTCAGACACATTGTTCCATGCAATACTAACACAGTCCTGGCAAGAGTGGGGTGGGGCTCTTCAGTGCCTAATCAATTTTAATATAATTTTTCAGCAAGTATTCACTGTCAGAAAAGACCATGTGCTAGAACACGACTTGAGGATACCAGCAAAGAGGAAAAGAATGCCCAAACCAAAACTCTTACAGCTTGTTTAAGAAACAATCTGATCCAATTTCCTTTTCTTGTTTAAAATTAAAACCATTTTTGCTATTGAGGCCAATCTATACAAGTCTAAGTTAATTTAAATGTAAATAGTACTTTTTTAGCTTTTTCCATACTTAATAATCAGAAAATATTTTGTTCAAGCTAAATTAAAAAAAAAAAGGGAAAAAAAAAAAAAGAATAGTTTCCATCAAAAATGTGGAACATAAGAGTGACAGCTTCAAAAGGTCAATGGTGTTTTTTAAACCCTGAAAGGTAGAAAGTTTTGAAGTGGGAAAATAGTATTTCCTGGGAAACTGTTTCATACCCTTTATAAGGAGCAAAACACATCTTACATGAAAGTCTTGGCTTGTGGACTATGACTCCTTGAGGTTAGGAGGAATATTTTAATGACGTCTGTGAAATGTCAGGCTCTGCATCAGCTGGGTTGAGTTTTCCATGGGAAAACCAGAGGCAGGGAAGCCCTGCTCTGTTGCCCTCACTGCTCTGCAGAATGACCCGGCAGAGGCAAGAAGTCTATTGCCAGCTGTGCCAGGCTACATTGGTTAGTGTTTGGAAAACAAATTGTGTAGGACTATGAAACTTGACAGTATTTAATGTGGAGAAGTGCAGTACAAATAGGCTTGCACTAATGAATATAGACACAAACTTTACAGGGAGAAGAAAGACGGAGGTGGAAAAGATATTTCAATAGTACCTTGTTTGGATTTTTATTTTATTTCTAGAGTCTGGGGATCCCTGTGAACAGTTTCTCTGCAACTGTGACAAAGATGCCATTGAATGCTTTGTGAAGGCACACATTAACTCTTCCTTGAATGGGCTGGATGTCTCCTTCTGTCCATCTCCTGTTACAGGTAATAATAAGGATCTGATCGACTGCCTCCTCCTGCCAGTTTTTCCACTGGCATCAAATTTGACCTGAGGAGAATGAAGCAGCAGCTGGGTGCTTTCCTGCACTAAATCTGGCAGTCTGTCCTCTTCTCCATTTCATGTGTCCTTTCCATTTACTGCTACTCAAGTGAATACCAAGAGAGAAGAAAAAGGTGGGCTAATTGCCATCCTGGAGCAAGTCCAGGGGAGGTTACTGAGCTCGTGAGGGGGCAGGAGCACACGATGAAAGAGAAGGAGGCTCAGGGGAGACCTTTTTGCTGTCCTCAATACCTAGTGGGATGTGTAGAGAAGACGCAGCCAGACTCTTCCTGGAGGTGCACAGGGACAAGACAAGAGGCAAGAAACACAACAGGGAAATTCCTGTTAGATATGAAGAAATTCTTTATTCAGGAGGCACCTGCCAGCCCTGGGAGACTCTTGCCAATGTGAACGAATGGGTGATATTTGGGGTGATTAGTCACTGAGGTCACTAACAGGAATGCCAAACGGAAAATATTGCTAGCTCAAATCTCCCCTTAAATCATGCAAAAACTCTAGCTGGAAAGGCAAAAATAGACCCAGTCTACTCTGTTACTTGGTTTCCATCTTGGAAAGAAAAATCCTCTGAAAAGATGAAGGGGATATTTATCTTCATTGTCATACACTGATCTGTGCTTTGCAGCTGAAATTACAGCCTGGTAAGGCTGAATACCTGTCCTGTGGGAACAGGGACAGATTAAAAACTTAATTCATATGGATTGCAACCAGAGCATGGCAGGGGGAGGACCTTTGAACTCCCAAGCTGACGTGGATGTGAAAAAGCAATGTTAGCTTTTCTAATCCTTTGGCTCATATTCACACCCCCCAGTGCTAAGGACAGATATAGACATCTGTATCATGCTCTGGATGCAGGCACCCCCTTGTGAACAGGTCAAGGGAGAAGAAAATGCCACAGGAAAGTTTGCCTCAAAGCCAGAAAATTGTTTCGTGTTAAGCCAGTAATCTTTCACTGGGATCAGATGGCTCTAATATAAAGTATGGCAGTTCCAACACATTCCAAATAAAGGGGAAATTGTTAGGTGCTAACAGGAAAATCATGCTGATTTTACCACTGCTGATAAAGATTAATTCAATCTTAACTCACTGAATACCTCTAGAAATTTTAGGCTCTTGATTATATTTCTTAATGGGGAAAATATCCTCTGAATTAAACATTTTTCTTTAGCTTTCACTCATGTTATTATCTTTCTGTGTAGCTCTTCTGTCCAGTTCAGGGTTTGAAAAAAAAAAAAAAATCCTATCTGACGAATTTCTAGGAAAAGGATTTTGGTAGATTCTTTATTACAGAGAAAAATGGGGATATATTACAGAGAGTGAAATGGAGATATATTTGCCTAAACCTCTACTTTAATAGCAATAAATTCAATTAACTCCTGATTTGTTGTAGTATTCAGATTAAACAGTGACAAATTCCCTTTCCATATGTTAGTCTATGAGAGAGCTTTCTCCTTTTCAGAAACCACCAGCCAGAGAGCAATGACAGCACTTCACACAGAGGGTACGTCCTTATCTCTGTAATTCTTTGATTGGAGTATTTTAAATCAAGATAAATTTATACTCATAAAAATAACATGAGTAGTTTGGAAGCTATGAATTCCTTTCTGAGAAGCAAAGACAAGTTTTAACAAGATGTCAAAATATGAAAGGAAGAGAAAAAAAGCCTAATAAATTAAACCCCCATTTTTGTGACCAGCTTTTACACAGGTGCACGGGAAAATTTCAGCCAATTAACTCATTTTTCTGAGAAGAGAACCTCGAAGCTCATTGAGAAATGATATAAGAAGAAACACAGTAAAAGCAGCTTAAAAATAGTTTCAGATGGATCCTTCTCTATTTGCATGCACATTTAAGGCTCTGCTTCAACAAGGTTCCTAGCCAGGTGCATGGGTTTAAACATTGTTTTCTGTTTAAATGTTTAAATCCTATCTTCATACCTTCACTATAGGCCACTTATTTAAGTACCTGCTGAAATGGGAATTTAAATTATGCTGATTGCTAACCAATTTTTCTTGTTTAGGTTGAAACTCTGTATGATAGAGACTGAGGGACTTTTTGTTTATTTTTTGTTGATTTCTTATTTATTTTTTATGTTGCTAAGTAGAATTTAGTATCGGCACCGAATAAATATTAAGGCAGGTTTTTAATATTGTTACCATAATTTTTAATAATTGGGTTTGCATTTGCTGTATTTATGTCATACAATAACTGCACAAAAAGCACAACTGTGGTAATATTTAAAAATAAGTTCCATTTTTATGACACTGATCCTGTTATGGTGAGATCCTGATTGTTAAGCATCGTAAGGCATGACTCTTGGGAGTGTTTTTATTTTTGCAGAATTCCTTCATCATGGGATGGACAAAACACGGGCTTCAACTGCATCCATGGAAGAAGGTTTGCAACTTAAGAGTGCATGGGGCAAAGTTTGCAGCTCCCAAAAGCTGAAAGAGTAAAATATAAGAATAAGCTCTTTGCTTGCTTTCTGCCCTTCTAAAAGGACAGATCTAAAAGTAGATGCAATGTTTTAGTGATCAAATTCAAGACTGAATGAGGTGGTGTGATTTTTCAGTTTGTACATGGGATGTGCTCAGCCAGTGTTTACAGTAAGTTTCCCGAGGGCTGAATATGAGCACTCCACAACAAAACCTGTTTTCATGCAAACAGACCTGGCACTATTTGAGAACAGAAGAACCTGGTTTCAATCTGTAATGTGCTCTTCTGGGAGGCTTGGTAATAGAAAACTGAGAGCTCCTGAAGGAGTGAGTTCTTCTGTAGTTGTACATCTGTATCAATCTTTTACTTCCCGAGAAAATGATAACTTGTGCTCTCTAAAGAGACATAGTTCATCCTAAAGCTCAAATTACTGCCAAGGGATAAAAACCTGTATTAGAAATTTTAGAAAGCTGAAAATGTATCACAGATAACATCTAGTCAGACTCTGAAGGAAATATTTGGAGAATCACTTACCATTTAACTAGCTGTCTCCCCGTTTAAGCCCATAGGAGCTTCACCACTGACAACTGGGGGAACTGCAAGAAGATGAAGCCAAGTCCTACTCGGAAACTTGTTCAAACGCAAAGCCATTATTCCTCACATCACAATATCCTAACAGCAGACAAAAAGATGCAGAGATATTTCTTTTAAATAATGTTTATAACCTATCAAAATATAATTGATGATAAATGAAAAATGCTTATCAAAAAATAAATTAGAGAATAGGGAAGTATTGGGGCTTGTAGCTGCCCATCCGCACTTGGCTTTCATTGCAGGTAAACATGAGGTGTTTGTGAGGAATGTGGCACATCCTTCTGTGCACAACACCGAGATTATAGACCTAATTATTTTTACTGTATTTGTCTGTCGAATGGTTTTAATATTGAATTTGCTGCTTCAGTCACAGGTATGCTGCTGCTTTGTTAGTGTAAAGCCCGTTATTTGAACACAGCAACGAGATTATTTTATCACTATTACTTTGTCTGCAACAATAGATGCACCACAGATAAAAACGGCCAGTATAAAAAATGCCCAGGTCTTCCTGCTTTGCTGAAAAAGCTCTTCTTGGCAGCCTGATATCTCATAAGAGTCAGCGCTGGAAACTTGTTTTCTGAGTTTACCTTTTTTGTCTTCAACAGTGATTTCTTTTGAGCCCAGTGAGTTGGTCCTGGGGACTTCCAAAGCTGGAGGTAAGACACTGATTATGCTTTTATTGATGAATCAGTCACTCCTGACTCCAGGTGAAAACAGGTTTTGGTTAAGGAAGCTCTGTGGTGTCACAGGCAAAAATCTGTAGCTCGGGAATTCTGGGTTATACCCCTAATTGTCCTGCTCATTGCACATCCCTAAGCAAACCACTTGGTTTCTCCTAATTACTGTTTTCATAAAAGAAGTCTAATAGTGATGTCTGCTTAAGCTTTGTGATGTTTTCTGTAAAAGCCACTCCAGAAATGCATTGCAGAAATGGAGGGTGTAGGTCACTAACATGATGCCTCTGCTTGTTGAGCAGGTACTACAAGGGACCACAGAGGAACAGCTCCTGCTCCCTCCCGCCCCTCGATAAGAGGTCAGTGACTCTCAGCTTTCTCTTTCCTGTCCTGGTGGACAATAGGATGACCATGAACTGACAATGTGCCCTTGTGGCCAAGAAGGCCAATGGCATCCTGGGGTGCATCAGGAGGAGTGAGACCAGCAGGTGGGGAGAGGTTATCCTGTCCCTCTACACAGCCCTGGTGAGGCTCCAGCTGGAGTATTGTGTCCAGTCCTGGGGTCCCCAGTTCAAGAAGGACAGGCAACTGCTGGAGAGGGTACAGCAAAGCGCTACCAAGATGATTAGGGGCCTGGAGCATCTCTCTTATGAGGAGAGGCTGAGGGACTTGGGTCTTTTTAGTCCAGAGAAGAGAAGGCTGAGGGGGGATCTGATCAATGCCTTAACTGATCAATTCTTGAAGGGTCAGACCTGGCACTATTTGAGAACAGAAGAACCTGGTTTCAATCTGTAATGTGCTCTTCTGGGAGGCTTGGTAATAGAAAACTGAGAGCTCCTGAAGGAGTGAGTTCTTCTGTAGTTGTACATCTGTATCAATCTTTTACTTCCCGAGAAAATGATAACTTGTGCTCTCTAAAGAGACATAGTTCATCCTAAAGCTCAAATTACTGCCAAGGGATAAAAACCTGTATTAGAAATTTTAGAAAGCTGAAAATGTATCACAGATAACATCTAGTCAGACTCTGAAGGAAATATTTGGAGAATCACTTACCATTTAACTAGCTGTCTCCCCGTTTAAGCCCATAGGAGCTTCACCACTGACAACTGGGGGAACTGCAAGAAGATGAAGCCAAGTCCTACTCGGAAACTTGTTCAAACGCAAAGCCATTATTCCTCACATCACAATATCCTAACAGCAGACAAAAAGATGCAGAGATATTTCTTTTAAATAATGTTTATAACCTATCAAAATATAATTGATGATAAATGAAAAATGCTTATCAAAAAATAAATTAGAGAATAGGGAAGTATTGGGGCTTGTAGCTGCCCATCCGCACTTGGCTTTCATTGCAGGTAAACATGAGGTGTTTGTGAGGAATGTGGCACATCCTTCTGTGCACAACACCGAGATTATAGACCTAATTATTTTTACTGTATTTGTCTGTCGAATGGTTTTAATATTGAATTTGCTGCTTCAGTCACAGGTATGCTGCTGCTTTGTTAGTGTAAAGCCCGTTATTTGAACACAGCAACGAGATTATTTTATCACTATTACTTTGTCTGCAACAATAGATGCACCACAGATAAAAACGGCCAGTATAAAAAATGCCCAGGTCTTCCTGCTTTGCTGAAAAAGCTCTTCTTGGCAGCCTGATATCTCATAAGAGTCAGCGCTGGAAACTTGTTTTCTGAGTTTACCTTTTTTGTCTTCAACAGTGATTTCTTTTGAGCCCAGTGAGTTGGTCCTGGGGACTTCCAAAGCTGGAGGTAAGACACTGATTATGCTTTTATTGATGAATCAGTCACTCCTGACTCCAGGTGAAAACAGGTTTTGGTTAAGGAAGCTCTGTGGTGTCACAGGCAAAAATCTGTAGCTCGGGAATTCTGGGTTATACCCCTAATTGTCCTGCTCATTGCACATCCCTAAGCAAACCACTTGGTTTCTCCTAATTACTGTTTTCATAAAAGAAGTCTAATAGTGATGTCTGCTTAAGCTTTGTGATGTTTTCTGTAAAAGCCACTCCAGAAATGCATTGCAGAAATGGAGGGTGTAGGTCACTAACATGATGCCTCTGCTTGTTGAGCAGGTACTACAAGGGACCACAGAGGAACAGCTCCTGCTCCCTCCCGCCCCTCGATAAGAGGTCAGTGACTCTCAGCTTTCTCTTTCCTGTCCTGGTGGACAATAGGATGACCATGAACTGACAATGTGCCCTTGTGGCCAAGAAGGCCAATGGCATCCTGGGGTGCATCAGGAGGAGTGAGACCAGCAGGTGGGGAGAGGTTATCCTGTCCCTCTACACAGCCCTGGTGAGGCTCCAGCTGGAGTATTGTGTCCAGTCCTGGGGTCCCCAGTTCAAGAAGGACAGGCAACTGCTGGAGAGGGTACAGCAAAGCGCTACCAAGATGATTAGGGGCCTGGAGCATCTCTCTTATGAGGAGAGGCTGAGGGACTTGGGTCTTTTTAGTCCAGAGAAGAGAAGGCTGAGGGGGGATCTGATCAATGCCTTAACTGATCAATTCTTGAAGGGTGGGTGTCAAAAGGACAGGGCTGGTCTTTTTTCAGTGGTGCCCAGTGACAGGATAAGAAGAAATGGGCACAAACTTGAATATAAGAAGTTCCACCTAAACATGAGGAGGAACTTCTTTACTTTGAAGGTAGCAGAGCACCAGAACAGGCTGCCCAGAGAGGTGGTGGAGTCTCCTTCTCTGGAGACATTCAAAACCCGCCTGGACAAGTTCCTGTGCAACCTGCTCTAGGTGCACCTGCTTTGGCAGGGGGGTTGGACTAGATGATCTCCAGAGACCTTCTAACCCCATGTGATTCTGTGGCTGACACAGCAATACCTCATCTACAAGCATCACAGTTCAAAATCCATGCATGGTGACAACAGGGCTGCCAGAGAATCAAAGTCAGGTAGCAGGTACACAGATAATAAAACCAGACTCAGAATTATTCGCTGTCTTGCCTCAAGCCACTCATTGCACTCCTTGTGCAAGAATTTGTGAAGGGCTCTTCATATAAGGTTTTTCCAATATAATGGTTGATCCTTTAAATGACATTCATAGCACCTGCTGCCAGAAGGGTTCATTTTGATTGTGCCTCCTCCTTTATTAATACAGAATTTCACGGAATTCTTTCCCTGGTCTAAACCCTACTTCACCTCTTGCAGTTGTTATTGCTTTGAGCACAGCCACGCCAGCAGCTACAGAAGTGGAGCACTGTGGGAAACTTGGAAGTTTTCAGCGGCCCCTTTTTTTGGTAGAAAGGATTGTTTAGGCAGACTAAAATCCCCCTGAAAAACTTAAGGAGCAGTACATATGGAGAGAAGAAAGTAGCAAATTTTTGCCTCTGATTACACTGCTGGTCCACTTTTCCCACCCCCGTGCAGAAATCCAGCATGGCTGTGCTAAGCAATGGTCAAAATCACTAAACGTTCCCTTGCATTAACTTGAATGTACCAGAAAATCTGTGTGTTGTGCTGTGAGGTCTGTGTGGCTCCTGGAGGATTATTTGTAATATCTATTCTTAGCTAAGTGCAGAATTTCCCAAACTCCAGTTCTATTTTCTACATCTAGCAGGAATTGCTTTCGACACATCACTGTCAACGGAGTGGCATAAAATGTGCACCTTGTTAGCTACTAGATCTAGCGTGTTGCTATCGCTCCCTTTCTTCAACCTTCCATGGTCTTCCTTGTGTTCTTAGCAGTTCTTTCATTATTTTAATCTCTGCTCCTATCCTCTGACAGGCTATTTTTAACACATACTAAAAACAGAACTTCAGAGGAACAAATTTAATGAATTTGAGCTTAATCCAATTAATAAATTCAGCCAAGGAATTTAAAAGGAAAGGTTTTAAAAATGTGGAAACATATGTTAACTAGTATTTCCCAAGTATTTTGTTTGTGAACTGCCACATTCTTCATATCGAAATTTAGAAAAAATGAAACCATTTGATAGCAGTATTTTCATTTTCAGGTTAGCTTATATAAAAAATGAAAGTGAAAAAAAGAAAGAAAAAAATGTTAAGTAACCACCAAATTAAACAAAGCAATAATGGCCAACAATAAAGACTCAGATAATCCAAAAATAAATATAAATTTAATTTTTAGGATGAAGAATCCCCTTAAAACTACATTTCTATTCATCCTCAACTTATTTTCTCCTTAATATTTGCTTGTGGTTACAGTGAAGCAAATCCTTCAGTTGCCCTGCTCTGTATCAGTCAAATAATTTTCCACCTTCCCTGATGCTGCTATCAGTTTTGGTATCCTCATGTGAATGGACTTTTTTTTTAGGAATTTACTAACAAAATGACACCTCACCTGCACTTTATCTCTCAGTATGGCTGACTAATCAGTAACCCATATGATTTTGAGCAGCTGGCACAGCTCTTTGCATCAGTATGCAACATATAAAGGTAAAAAAAAAAATGTATAAATCAGTAGTAATACTGGTTCTGTTTAACCAGCATCTTCTTTTCTGAAAGGCAGATGTACAACAAATTTACAACAAAGTAAAGAAATGACTAATGTGGGTACTCCTTACTTTTCCTTCATTTTATTACAGTCTTCATTTTATTTTATTTTTTTTCCTCTATGACTATCAGTTCACATGAATTCTGCTTGGGGATAGTACTCTGACCTGCTATCTCAATGAAAATCTTCCTTTTTATTGCTCCATGTCCAATGTCGTCTTCTGCTTTCCTCTTTCTGCTTATCCAGAAGAGGATGGATTTATGGAAGCTGTGGCCCCAGTGGAAGAGATAACCACCTCCCCAGCCTTACTGTCTGGAGATACTAACTCAATGCAAGTCAAAATTGTCCCCACCGAGAAGACTCCTGCCCTCACATCTCCAAAGACAAAAGAAAAAGGCAAGTAAAAACTGAATTACACCTCTTCTAATTTACAGCACTCCCCTACTCCTGTTCTCAGCTATCTGAGGATTCAGCATTTTTTGTAGACGTAGAATAACACTATTTTCTTCCTAAATCTGGATATATTTCATAGAAATGCTTAATTTAACATAGCTTAACATAGAAAGATTAATTAACCATTAATGAACAGCCTTCCATCTATGAATTAAGCAAATTTTAGAAAACGGCCAATTGATTACGGTTCAGAATATGCACTTTTGGACACATTACTGAAAGAAGAGTTTCCTCTCCCTTTGTAAGTCTAATCTACCCATATGCCATCTCCAGAGACAAGCCCAGCAAGGGGTGGGCAGAGCACAGCTCCCTCTGGAATAGCCCTGGAACTGGCGCTGTCTGACACCAGACCCCATGAACCTGCAGAAAAAGGTAAATGAAGGGTTTTGTTCCCCGGTTATATCTAATGAAATATTCAGCTACCTCTATATGAAAAGGGAGTTGTATATTACATATAAGGATTATAGTTATTCTAAACCAGTTAGACAAGCACATATGCATTGGTATTTATAAGAACAACAGGAGATGCAGTCATCTGCAAAAGCTTCCAACAGTTCAGCCTCTCCCACCAAACTTAACAAAACCTATTTATGATTAGGTTATAAGTACATTTTTCATACAGTACAAGATCTAAAATGAGCTCAGTGAATATTTCCCCTTGCTTTTGTTTTTAGGCAGTAATTTAACCACATCTTTGAGTTAGCTGATTTTGCAAGCAGCAGAAGCAATAGAAGGAACTTCCCTGTTGCTCAGTTGGGATAGAGGCATCACAGCTCTAATTGAATTGCAGTTAAAAAGTGTGAATACGATTATCCAAGGTGGTCTTCCCTGGCTTGTAAGATCAGGAAATAATTCTCTTTGAAGTGAAAATCCAAAATCTTTCCTTTAGGAAAGTAACACTAGCACTGATTGCTCTGTGATGGTAGCCAAGCTTTATCAGGAGGAGTTTTGTAAGTGTACCATGAAGGAATCATGTACATCTTAGCCCTACTACACCTTTAATGCTAGGTGGAAGGTATTTCAGAAGAAAAAGTAGTTATTGTTTACTCCAGCACACATTAGTCATTGCCCAGTTATCACCATACGTTAACATAAGAGGTTAAGACTCTGTTTTCTGAATTAGCCAAGACAGAAGCTACTGAATACCCAGCTAGGTTTGAATATTCGAGAAGGAAAATTCAACTACGAAGGATTACAAAGGATTGCAAAGCACTCTCATTGCAATCCAATTTTACTTGTACTTTATAACTTCCTAGGCAGCTCTCTCCCCTTTAAATATTTCCCCCCACTTCTACTGACTTGCTCTGTAGCACTCTAAGAGCCATGGACTGGAGCAATAATTTAGATATTGTAAAACGTTGCCTTTAAAAGTTTCTGAGAGCTCTGAAAATACTTCTGTCATCACAAGAGATCCCCCAACCGGTGAAAACATGATGTGTCAAATCACTTTTTTCTTTGCTTTCCAGTATGTGAGCGATTAACCTTTTTGCAAGAGAGAGGAAACGGAAGAGCGAAGAGGGAGCTGCCCCAGCTGGGAGAAATGCTCTTCTGTTTAACTGAGCGATGCCCTGAGGAGTTTGAGTCTTACGGCTGCTACTGTGGCCAAGAAGGAGGAGGTGACCCTATTGATACACTGGACAGGTGGGGGCTCTTCTACATTCTGTCATTAACTGTGGGCATTATCGGGGTGCCTATGGACCAACAAAGATCAGTATACATCAGTATACAATACAAGGCTGGGCCTTGTATTGCTATGTGTCAGTAGTCAGGCCATATTTTGAAAAAGAGTAAGTAAATAGCCACTTAAATACATAAAACATGAAGGCTAGTCACGGCTCTCGCTATCTTGATGCAGTTTACAGATTTTCAGCCAGCAATATTTAAACACTTGAAGACACTTCTCCTAGAGGATTGGGTCACACTTAGAGTTGTAATTATATGTCTTAAAAATAAAACAAAATACCACCAAAAAACTACAGCACTCTTAAGCAAATGATGCCAAAGGAATGAGGGAGGAAGTTCTGAAAGCAGGAACAGCTATAGGAGGAGAGTAGGAACAGGTTTGTTTGATCGTTTCTTATTCCTTATGGAATTTTTTTTCCATATGAAAAATAAATTTCTCAGTTTAAATGGGCATTGAAAATACACAGATAAAATAATTGTGAGTATTCTGTGACGCAAGAAGAGTAAATACTTTTCAGTTATATCTACAGTGTTTATTTTAGATTTTTTATTTATTGTTTATATGTCTACTATGTTTATTTTAGGTGCTGCTTCACTCATCACTGTTGTATGGAACAAGTGAAGAAACTCGGATGTCAGGCAGAAAGAAGTTCAAGATCTGAAGTTGTATGTTTTGATCACAAGCCAAAATGTAAGTTCTGGTTAGAGGAAATTCCTTCTGCCCTGATGAGAGTGTATCAAAGCGTTATGGACTGAACACCACCAGGCCTGTGAGCTGCTACAGCCGAGTATGGGGACAGAAAAATTTGGCTTAGAAAATGTTAGCAATGCTTAACTGCAAAATGGAGCTTTTTTTCCTAGCTGAGATCAAGGTTATTACACCACTGTGTATGATGTGACCAGGTCAGGCTGAGAAAATCAGACGCAGGTATTTTATGACTGGAGACAGAAGTCAGCTGTTGGGTGCCTTTATGTTCACAAATTCAACTAAAGCCAATCAGAACCTTCAGCTGCCCAGCACCTTGGTGCCAGGCTTATACTTAGATGATTGAAGGTGAATTTGGAGACTAAAATTCAAGGCAGATTTGAAAATGTTACTTTCAAAAGCTCATCCACCCATGGCAGATTACACATTGACTAATTGTAATTGCTTTCAAACCTTAATTCTGACGGGGTTTTGAGCAACCTGGTCTAGCAGGAGGTGTCCCTGCCCATGGCAGGGGGGTTGGATCCATGGTCTTTAAGGTCCCTTCTAACCCAAACCATTCTATGATTCTTTTTAAGGTATTGGTTGGAGCACCTGTGAGAAACTACTATGTGCTTGTGACAAGACAGCAGCTGAGTGCATGGCTTCTGCCTTCTTCAATGAGAGCCTGAAGTTCCCTCACAGGCAGGAGTGCCAGGAGGAGAAAGCCTCATGTCAGAGAGACCCTTATGAAAGACCTTCCATGGGCACAGAAACAGGCACTGGGACTTCCAGCTCTGAAGAGAGCAGTGAGGAGGAAGGTCCACTGTGGAGGGCGTTAAGAAGAGCAAGGAGAGAGACACACCGTCCTGCTGGAAACTCCAGAATGGAGCAACATGAAGGCAGATAACCAGCCACCACCACCACGTGCTGGAGAACCAGCATGGAGACTTTCAGAGCCAGCCATTGCATACCTTAATCCTCTTTATCACGCTACACTCTGCTTCACACTTTCCAGCACACAAATGACATAATCATAGACTAGCTATTAAATGTTAGCCTGTAATACTCCTTACTGTAGGGAAGTCAGGACTATGGACTGCCTATCTAGGTCAGATACTGCCTTAAATTATTAGTTGACAGTATTCTGTGTAATTTCATTTGATTTTTATGTTCTGATCAAAGACAGATTCTTGTTAACTGTGTAGTTGGTTCAGACTGGATCTTGCTGAAAACCTAATATTTTAGGGTTTTAATTAAACCAAATTGCAACTACTCCAACTGCTTTTGCAGACATTCTTCTTTTACTGAGCTTAGCACAAGACACACAAAAGAAAAGGTAAGGAAATTACATAAAAATAGGTTCCTTCTTCCCTTCTTATCTAACTGCAATTTTCAGCCAGCAGAGTTTCTGCTGGTCAAACAGATCATGACAGTAAAAGCCCCATTCCTTGCACCAGAGCTGTGTCCTGTGCATGGTTATCTCCAGTTTTGAGAGATTTCAGGATGCTAAAGGGAATAATTTAAAGGTTCTGCTTCCTGGAATCAACTAAGACAAATATATTCTGAAGTATGCAATGTAAAGCTGGAAAAATGCTTTTTGCTTTTTACTGAACCCAAGGTTGTTTGCTTTATTTTTTCCAAATTCACCACTCACAAGGTTCACCAGTTATCAGACAACAGCAGTATAAAGGGATAAACACAGCTTTTTCCTTGCTAAGGTGCTAATTTAGACTATGCTTTGATCATAAAATACTGCCACAAGAAAGAAAATGACTAGAACATGACAACTAATAACAAAGCTAAACAACAACCAAAAAAACCCCAGCTAAGGTCAAAATCATTAACAACCTTGTGACTTTGCTATGAAAGGTGCACGCAAAGGTATAATTTTTCGATGGCTTTATCATCAGATTTCAGTTGTAGAGCATACAACCATGCAAAGACACAGCTCAAACCCAGAAGGTGACCTGCCCCAAATGGCACATAACCTCTTATTCAATGGGATTACTGATATTTCCATACTTCTGCTGAGCACGTCTTTGCAAGAGCAAAACCACACTCATACAGCACCTCCTCTGTAAGCACATCTAACTGTAAGTGAAGGTTTGACTTCTCGATCAAAATAAATCAATAAAAATAGTAACAAAAATGATCAGGGGGCTGGAGCACCTCTCCTGTGAGGACGGGCTGAGAGAGTTGGCACTATTTAGCCTCTCTTGGAGAAGAAAAGGTTCTGGGGAGACCTTATTGCAGCCTTCCAGTACCTAAAGGGGGCTTATAAGAAAGACAAGGACAGATTTTTTTAGCAGGACAATGGGTAATGGGTTTAAACTAAAAAAAGGTAGATTTAGACTAGGTATTTTTTACAATAAGGGTGGTGAAACCCTGGCACTGCTTGCCCAGGTGTGTGGTAGATGTCCCATCCCTGGAAACATTCAAGGCCAGGTTAGACAGGGCTCTGAGCAACCTGGTCTAGTTGAAGATGTCCCTGGTCATTGCAAGGGGCTTGGACTAGATGATTTTTAAAGGTCCCTTCCAATCTAAATTAACTTGTCTTGGATTGCTACAAACTTTCTAGTGATTCTGCTGCTCCGAAAGGTCTGGATTTCTTCTCTATAATCTCATTCTACGTAAGTGTTCCTTACTGATGGATGACTGTGTCCTAATGCTGGCTACAGAAACACTCCCCATGTTCTTCCAGGTTATGAAGCAATTAATTAAACTGCATCATTCCATCTCCTTGCAAAACAATGTTGGGAGAACAGCAGGTGAAAACACCAGTGGATGTTCTCCGATAAGCAGTTAATATTCGATAAACCTCTGGCTGGTGGTACTCGCCCGTCAGTATTTTTCCTACCTTAAAACTGCAGTGCAGAAAAAAAAAAACCACCCCTGAAAGCAAACCAAGTCAAACCCAAAGGTATTTAACCCTTGAATCCCCTGCCTTACAGTGGCTGCACCAGTAGCACTAGTGAAAAAAACAGGAGAACATAAAGACTTTTTCTTTAAGGGAAGGCAGAGAGGACAGCTAAGTGATGGGAGAAATTCTATCAGCAGGCAACATTTTAATTAACTTTACTTTTTTTTCCCCACACACATTATGCTGGATAGAAAGAGGGCATTTCAGTACTTGATGAAAATGCTACAAACCTGCAAAATGCCTGTTTTTGTCCAGCGCTGAGGATGAGATCTGCATTATCCTGATGTGTTTACCTGTTTCAGAACTGGAGCTTTTATCAGCCTTTTATCATAGTGATGAAAAACTATTTTATATTGCACAGTGTTTATACATAAAAATGAAAATGAAAAGGTCAGATAGCTAATTAGCTGAAATGGGAAAAATTGGCCTTTAAACAAGTGAATTAAGTGCATTGCTGCTTAATAATACCAGAAGCTCATTTCTCTGATTGATGCTGCAGCTCTGAAGCCTGCATTTAAAATACACGCTTAAGATAAAAAAACCCATCCCTTTCTGGTAATTATTAGAAACTAGTATTCCATTCATGGTTATGCAAATAACATGCATATACTCAACTCGGAGATATGCTGAATTTTCTGATTGCAGAGATAGAGATGGATCATATGAACTGATCAAGTAGGAGAGAAATTACAATATAAATAAGCTGTTATTCAGGCAATGTTGTCATTACTTCCTTCAGGCTTTTTTCCAGTATCTCTTATTTCAGGAAGACTCTAACACCAAAGTTGTTCCGTAATTACTACCATATGAACTGTGTTGATAAAGAGAAGCTGAAAATAATCTAGCTATGATTAGCCAGATTTATTCATTCTCAGAGATCAGTGCTAAAATAATAAAAAAAAATGAGAAGCAGAACAAGATAAGACATCTAGCACAGCTTTTTTTCTTCTCTCATTCTCACAGCAGCTTTACACTATATTTTTCAAAGATTTGGGGCATAGCTGACCAAAGCCCAGTTGTTTCCCTAAAAGAAACAACTAATCTATTAATTAATAATCTAAAAAGTTTTCCCACTTCATTAGATACTGATTTACTTATTTTAAATTGTTAAGCACTTAGCTTACTTTGCCTGTAAGCTGATAAATCATTAAGGATTTGGGAATATGATTTAATAAACAACTTGTCATAATTTAGGAAGACATAAGCTCTGAAAACCAGATTCAGGTGTTGTGGTCATCTTGATCACAGTAGAGATTAAAACTGTGAGCATGGAACGAGTTAAGTCTTCCAAATGAAGGCAATGCTGTGAAGAAGCAAAAACTTTTAAGACAGAAATCCCCCAGTACCCAGAAAGTGGCTCTTCACAGGTCACCTTTGTTTTATCTTACAACTGCAGCGGTCACCACTTTTGTCCCTCCTCCTCTGGTCTCATGTGGTAGGGTGACAGAATCTGGTACTCACCTCCACACCTTCTCTTTAGGTATGATTTCAAATCATCTCCCAAGGGTTTTCTCCCCAGATGGGTTTGAGGTATCTGTCGGTAAAATCCTGCTCAGACCAACCAGAGCAACAAAAAAGGTTGATGACCACACATCTTAACAGCAGGTTCTGGCATCCATGAGTCACAGATTATAGAAAGAAGGCACCTACCTTCCCAAATTTCCTAAAAACACATATTGAATGTTTGCAAAAATTAGGAACGAGGGAAAAAAAAGACAAGAATATAAACCTCTATATATTAGGATACGTCTCATGTGAGCTAGAACTACTTCCCCGAAACAGAAAAAAAGAATTCTTCCTGCTTCTTTCAGGGCATAATATGAAAGCTATTTAAATAAAAGAATGCTACCAAAAGGAGAGTAACAAACAAGAGCATAATACTCCGGCTCATTAGATGGCATCACTGAAAAACGCTGCCTGTGGGTGAGCTGTACACAGATCACTCACACCGACAGCTTTATTCCTTGAAATCAATACAACAAACCTTGAAACATTCCTTAACCAGGGGGGTAGGTCTGAAAAGCTCAGCTTATTTACCTTCCTGAAGTTTGTTTGGGATTAGGAACTGATTTTTGAATTGTTTCATTCTCAACTTTTGGTGGGCTTGGTAATAGTAATGGTTTAACCATGAATAAAAGCAGTCGTTTCATAACGCTGCAGTGCTGTAACATTTGAAAAAAAATAAATATGTAAGATTAGGTTTATTTTAAAGGGCAAAAAATTATGACATTGACATTTTAATTGTTAGCAATAAAGAGTGACACCTTAGAAAATATTAATTTTAAATTTTGGTTTATTTTATTGCTTAAATATAGATTGCACAGTGTGTTCTTACATTTATTGAACTGGTTCATTACGTACAGTACAGAAATATATGACCATCAGAACAATGGACAATTTAGCCCTACTCGGATTTTGGACAACCAGCTATTTCTATCTTTTGAAATTAACAAGGATTTAATTCACTTTAAAGTGACCCACTACCAAAAGCTATTATTTTTCAAAGTGACACAATGGGAAAGAGAACCCAAAGCAAAAGCTGGAATATATTTAAACAGCTGGATACCAATTTATAACTGTGCCAGTACTCCATGTGGTGCAGGTAACACAGGGCCAGGACGCACATGGAGCTTTAAGTTCTGCAACTTGTCTCAAGAACATAAAAAATTCAGTGAAAGAAAGCAGCTTTATATGGTACAACAGCATTCTTAATTCATTTGGTTTCATTCATTAGCTACATATTGTAATAGCTAACAAAACAATACATTTCACAGCCCCTCCCACCTCCCAGCTGTCTAGAAAGGCCAGAGTGAACCAATTGTCAACTTACTTACAGACTCCCTGAACTTCCAGAAAGGAAGAAATTAAATATCCCGTGAGCACACCGAGTGTTACAAGCTCTTCACCCCCTGCGTGATCACCTGCACAGCACCTGCATTGCCCAAACACAGCTCATCTCAACGCCGAAAACATGGAAAGCCACCACC